AGATAGACAAAATAAAAGCAGCAGGTAAATGGTCGACAGTAAATATACCATGGGTGTTGACACACTGAAATTAAATTATTGAATTTAAGCTATTTTTAAGAGAAATTGGCAAACATTGAGTGCTTTGAGTTTCTCAAATGGGCTGCTTCTCTCTGTTATCAATCACTTTAGGACTCTAACAAAATAATCAATGTGCAGATTTTACTTTGGGCACTAAATAATAAATCAAAAAGATAAACAAAATCTTCAATTATAATGAAATACATCAAATCAAGTTATTTACAGCCCTACTGCCAGTACACAGAAAAAACGATTTCTCTTTCACTTTCTGCACTTTTAACTCAGTTATGACTTGAATTAAATGTATATCAGCAGCTTATGACTGGATGTTTGAAGAGTATGAAGTAGGAAAGTAGGTTATTTTGCTGACACGATGTTCATACCTTTATGAAAATGACTGCCAGAATAGAGAGAATCCCATTCTGCCAAGTGTTATCTTCCCTCACCAGCTTCTGCTTTGTAGACAAGCTGGGGGAACCTGTTTGGCCTCAGAACATCAACACCAGGAGGAACAGGTTGTGTTTTCATGTGTTAGAAAAACATGTGCACACAATATTTGCACAGATTGTGTGGACATATTGAATGTGTTTAACCTGAATATGAATTGGATAGACACTGGAGAATTTGTGTATTTTGTTTGCAAACACCAATATCAATAACTGAGTATTTTGTGTTCGAGTCTTCTGCAAAATTGCATCCTCTGCCTCCGATTACGAGTGACCACACCACATGCAGTTTATTCCTTATGTATACACTCATGCCTAGTTTACCACGCCCAAAGGCTTTCTGGGTAATTATCATGGCATTTCCATTTGCTGCCCCTGGGCACGGCAATCTGGAGGGGCATTTGGACAGTTTAGATCAACAAAATGTTTGGAAAAGGTTTCAGTGCCTGAAAAACATATTTTTCAAATAATCTTATAACGTTTAAAAATATGTTTTTGAATAATGTTTTTTAAAGATTACACATTCCATTTCATTTATCTGAGGCTTTAATCCAAAGCTCTTTACATGCTGGCTGTAAACAGGATACACTGCTATCCTCCATATCAGCCAAAATGCTTCTACTGCAGCCAAAGAGAAGTGACGCCGTTTCAAGTGAACGAGTTATGTCGCTAAAGCTTCGTTAAATCAGCAAAGACAGACACATTAAACAGTCCCTGTCTAGCCTGGGGCTTGTGTTGAAAGTATTTGCTGTGGTGGTCAATGTTTGATGGAGTTGGGCTTTGTGGAGACCAGGATCAGTGCCCCGGAGCTCTGCGGCGGGCGGCCACTGTTATTAAACCGCCAAACATCAGAGGACAGACGGGGGAGTCTTCACTGTCCTTGGACTCTGACACGAGCTTATTGAAGGGCAAAGCTTCAAGCGCTCTCTGTTCTCTCATGAAAAGTACTTGTGGCATCAAAAGGGCAGGGAACAAGTGTGACAGTGTTCAGAAATATACTGCTAATTATAATACCAGTGCGAGCCAGGTCATGCATGTTGGTGTGAATCCATGTGTTAACGTGTTAGCTGCATCCACTGAGGCTCGGCTGTATTTCTCAGCTCTGCTGGATGTACAGAATTCACACGCTGCTTGTGTAAATGACTTTATTTAAAAATCGTTTAAACACAACGATAGCAGTTCAGTATGAATTTCCTAGATATATCACAGCATTTCGTCCTTCCCAACCTGTCAACCTGTGACAGAGATTACTTTATTGTCAAGTCATGCCTAATCCATTCACTGCTCGTCTTATCAGAAACCCCAGACTCAAATAAATCTGACCGTGTTATTTGCCATGGCTGAGAACCGTCAGGAAACTTATATTCTTTCCAAAATAAAAACACTCTCCCAGTCTTTTGAAAACGTTTCTAAAAATATTTCTTAAACCTTAGTCTATTCACCAAAATGGAGGACCCACAGTGAGCACAGAAAGTGCCCACAAGCACACCTAAAGAGGATTTCAGGGAAGACAAATGGACTTGAGTGGATCTGGAGGAGGGAGGCCAGCGAGGGCCAGTAACAGTTAAAGATGTGTTGCTCTCTACAGCAGCAGATGACTAACTCTGAATTCTAAGTAGAGGAAAGTTCTGCTTTTTTTCTTGCGGCGCTAAAAGACCAGTTGTGTTGTCTAAGAGGGCCAGATGGACTGGTGCTCTGTGACTAAAACCTAGGCACGCACTCACACACACCTCCAGGACTCTCGAGCTAATCAGTATTCAAAGAAAAACGCTCCCTTCTCCTAAACTCGGTTTCTCCTTCATCGACTCTGCCGATGGTTCCACAGGGAGGACGGGACTCGCTGCTGTTTATCCACTTATTCCTCGGGGGGAGAAAAAGGAGGCTACGCCAGCAGGAGACAGACGGGGGAGAGCGATGCTGAGCACAGAGATGCAGGCTTGGATCTTTACACAGTTAGCAAACATGGCGGCACGGAGACTAAAAAGCCCCCCCGACATTATACAGCTTACAGTTTCTCTCTTATTTCCCAGCAGAAGGTAACCTTGCTACGACTGCTCTCACAGTTTAAACCCCGTTAATCCTGTTAACCATGCATTATACAAAAAGCTTTTTCAGCTCATATTTAACACAGGAATTTGCATGAAATGAAACCAATTGCATGAAATGAAACAAGGGAGCCTGGGTTTACTTTCACTTCTGCAATGACAAGGCATGGTCTCAGCTTGAGATTAGACAACAATTGAGACTTCAGAGTGGTGTGTGTGTGTACAGTAAAAACACATAATGTCCTGGGAGGTTTACAGTGTGTACTATGACTTCTACAGCACAGCAGGTGGAAACAGCATGAAGAAGCCTCTTAAGAACACCTGTGCTGCTGCACTCAGCGCCCCGGATCTATTGTGCACCGATGAGGCCAAGTAGAAAGGGCGGACATATTGTCTTAGCACCTCGCTTTGTTCCACAGCTCAAAAAAAAGCAACTGCACTCTGAGAGCACTTCACTGTGCTGTTTGATGCTCCTGTAGTACAAAGAAAGAGCCAGGGAAAGAAAGTAAAGATTGATGAGCTGCATTTGATTGTACACCTGACTTTCTTTGGTATTACTGGCAACTCATAATGACATCCAGATGCGAGGGGGTTTCAGAGAAAGAGAGTAATATTTGGACTCTGAGAAAAAGTCCTCAATTTAGAAATCCGTGATAGGTTCAGATGAACGCTTTAGATTTAGCTTTAATCCTCTCTAAAGCACATGCCTGAAAGATTACATCAGGCCTATATTTCCAACATATATCATGTGGGAGTTTTTCTGAGTAACAAAAATAGAACACCTTTCAAAGCAGCCAATACGATGAATAAAAGTTCTCAGGTGGTGATTTTACGCTTTCCTTTTGTAAATCTGAGGTAGAAACGATTTTAAAAAACCCCACGAACAAGGTACCAAATCCTATATTTGGTCCACTAATAAACTGCTAAGCCAGATGCCCTTCAGGCGGTTTTGACAGAAAATAGAAAAGCATAACAAACTCTGACGATCCTCATTAGATGCAAAACCTCTGCTAAAACCCACAGGCAGCACAGACATAATTTATTTGTGAGAGAAACGTTGTAAAGCAGAATTTATATTGCTGTGTTAGGATTGACACCGCTGGCATGAGGAAATGAACTTCCTGATTGTTCTGTGGTGAATGACTGGAGGACAGCTGGTGTAACTTTCCCCTCCCCTTTAACGCTTGTCATTTTGAATTAAATTAGCTTTAGTCTACATCTAGTTGACATTTGTCTTAACATTTCTGCATTCATCACGTCCTTGTATTCTTTTCTACATAACAAGAGTGCTTTGAAAGAAAATAGCCATTTTACACTGTCAAACCAAGTTTGAAGGCAATGAATAAAAAGGAACAGACATGATAATAATGTTGTTAGGCATTTGGCAGAAATGTTTTTCCGGTGGGTGTGTGAGTGACAGTAAGTAGAGCATAACTTAAGGTGGCGCTGATATGACAACATTAACTCTGCCACATGAAAACAATGATAACACAAAAACTGTCACAAGACCACATTTAGGTTTTGTTTGCTGGGGTAAAGACCAAGGGAATTCTTTTTCATTTGTTTTTTAAAATGCTAGCCTATCACTTTTTTCCAGAGGGATGACTTTATTAAATGTATTCACACACTCTCATGAATAGTGTATTTTCATTATTCCTGGCAGCCATGCACACTTACAGATAATGGAGAACTTTTCAACAAGTCCTCAAAATAAATTAAACAACAAAATGCATCCTCAGTCTATTCCCTCCAGAACAACACTGGGAGGAATAGACTGAGTGTTAATAAGCAGTTCATCATCCGAGGAAACTATGGAGAGTTTGAGTGAATATCAGCAACAAATGGCTGCCAAAAAAAAGTCAGCTTTTTGATGTGACTGACAACGTAATGGTTGAGGTTTAGTTAGTTAAAGAACAAACAGGATAGGATAATGGTTTGGGTCAAAATGATTTCATTATCAAACCTTTGTAGTTCAACAATAACAGTGTGATCAAGATTTACTACTCACGGTGAAAGAAACAAAGTGCCCCGTCAATAGGAAAGAGGAAGTGGCCTTCTGTGTGTGGTTCGATGTTTTGTTGAGCTTTCCTCCCCAACCCCTCCTTCTGCAGACTTTATCTCTTAATAACAATGTCACCCTACTTCCTCTTTTGCTCCAGATGAACAACACTCAGACACTTGACTTGTTTGGTCACGGCACTTTCTGAAACTACCCGGGCTCTCCTTTTACTTCATTAGACAAATCAAATCTTTCTTCTCTACTAGACTTGGTGAGGCATATGTAGAAAATATATCAAATTTGTCTGACATAAGATTGATCTGCAAGTCATTTTTCAGACTTAAGGCCAGAACCCGCCCTTGCTATTGCAGAATATCTCTGTAGGATAAAAACACTTTATAGCTTCCACCATCCTCAGATGCATGGCCTACTGTTAAACTCTTCACATACCTGCTTGTCCTTGTCCTTGTCCTTAGCCTTCCCACTGCCGGACACCCGCGATGAGGTGACATCACGGGGGATGACAGAGATTTGGTGCAGTGGCATGTTCATCCCAGCAGAGCCAGCCAGGGTCGCTCACACACACACTTCCGGTGCTGCTGCTAGAGCAAAGGGCATGATGGTCTGAACTGCGACACCTCGCCCACGCTGTCCTGCAGAGGACACAGAGAACAAACACAGGTTAGCTATGAGATGATAAAGAACACATTTAAAAGAAGACCACATACAATGGTTCACTGAGAACTACACCTGCACACACTAGTCTGTGTTGAATATGGCGTGTGTGTTACATGTTGTGATCATGGATGTTGCCCCTCATTTCTGTTATGTGATTGTGATGTGCTATATGTGACATGTACTGTATGTACTGTAGTAACGTGTGTTGTTTATGGTTCTCTTTTATCCTTTCGCCTGTATCTACTTGTCTTTCATCCTTTTTTTTAATAATTAAAGCTGTTGATATTGTGATTTTAAGGGTGTCTATTATCATCTGGCCGGGGACAACAGCTGGAAATTAGCAATGTTGGATAAAGCTGCTCCATTTACTGTTTTTTGTGACAGTTGATCAATGGGGACTGTCCACGACATGCACTAAAAACAAATAAACTAAACTAAATATCATCACTGCATATGGAGCAAGTCCACATTACGAAATCCATCAGAGTTGCACAGCTGCACTTTGTGTTTTTATCCTGTCTGCAGATGACTCGGCCGACTTCCTCTGACACTTTGGTTCTTTAAACCTTTTCATTTCAGAACCTCAAAAATATTTCAATTTAATCAAAATGGCACTGCGTCACAGACTCTCTGGGCAATTGTTGTACCATGTGTACACAAGCTGAGAAAAACAAAGGAAAGTGCTGATTTGAGGCTTTTACTTGGTATATCATTTAAAACGATGAATCATTAATACTCGGAAAGATTCACAGTGAAATTGATGTAGCTGCCTGTGTCATTGTTTTTTGTAAATTGGGTTCCTGGGAGGCTTCATTTTTGGAAATGAACAAAGTGATTCAGTTTGTACTGAGAAAAAGGATACCATGCATTGTGGGTAAGGGCAGTGCAAAAGGTGCTAAATAAAAGACAACAATGGATGCAGGGAATGTCTGCAAACAAAAGAAGGGTATTTTAACTACATCAGGCCGATGAACTTTTACTTGTGCTGACCTGCAGTTCACTGTAAGAAACTTTGAGCTATTCTCAAACCACCAAAGGCACATTTGTCTCTTGTGACTTTCTACAGGAGAGCAGGAGTTTGTCTCAGAATAGCAGGAGTGTAATAAATCACCACGGAAGTGACTCTGTCTGAGCAGGAATTCACTTTTTCAACCAAAGACATGTAGGTTCAGGTCTAAGATTTCCACGAATGAGAGAGTGATTGGTTTGCTGTCGTTCTTGGATATATTTAGACAGATAGAGTCATTAAAGCAGTGGCAGTGTGGGGCTGGCCTTGGAAGTTACACAAGAGATTGTATATAAGGGTTGTTTTAACTTCAGTTAATGCAGCCATCTGTACTGCCACTGACAGCAATTAAGCTTCAGCTCCTTCGCACCAGTAGGCCGTGTGTGTGAGTGTGTGTGTGTGTGTGTGAGTGTGTGTGTGTCTCTGTGTGTGTGTGTGCTGTATGTGTGTCGGTTTGTATGCAGCCCCTTTGCCAGGCAAACCTAAGCTTCACAGTATGAAAATGACAGGATTAAGAAACCAAAAAGCAAGCAGACAGATGGGAGGTCAGTGAAATGGCAGTAATCGGTAACCAGTGTTAAAGGCGGGAGGGGGGGGAGGGGGGTTCGAAGGCTTTGGACTTAAATTGCCACACGGGTCGACTTAGAATCGCCAGCACAGCCAGAGCTGCCACTTCAGTTCATGGCTGCACTGTCTCTGACCATTATTAATTAATCAAGATGGAGAGGTGATTATGCTCATATGATCTCACAAACACACACAGCCGGTGGTCATGAGCTTCTTGTGCAACAGCTGCCAGTCCATGCTCAGTGCCAAAGAGGAGGGGGGGGCTCATGTTTTAATAAAGACCAACAAGAAAGCACCTCAGGTCTCATTAAATAGAATTCTCCATCAAACTGAATTGCAAGAAGGAAACTCATAGAGCGCAGACCTGAGCCAAGGCTGTTTCCATAAGAAAGAAATATTGCATATATACACCCTGTACTGAGGATTGGCTCTAAAACGTAGTGTGTTTTTCCTTAACTTATGCAACACCCTCCAAACAAGTTTCACGATCATTTTGCAAGACGTTTTACCATGATCCTGACATAACACAGCAAGCGTAACCTCCTTGGCGTAAGTAATAAAAAGTCCCTGACACAGGTGTAGTGATGGACTCAGACCTGAATTTCAACAGTCACATTACAACAGTTATTAAGTCTGCATACTATCACCTGAAGAACATATCTAGGATTAAAAAAGTTTTTAAATCACTAAATGGTTTAGGACCAAAGTATATCAACGATCTCCTGCATAATTATGAACCATCAAGGTGTCTCAGGTCTTCTGGGACGGGTCTGCTCTCGGTTCCGAGAGTAAGAACAAAACATGGAAAAGCAGTGTTTAGCTATTATGCGTAACAATTTCTGGAGGTTTGTGTTTGTCTTTTATTCGTAACACATCTCTACATCAACCTCGATGCTGTAGCTCATCTAATTGAGTTTATAAGGTAGGAAGGTTAACTCAATATCACAATGTGGTGGAAAAGAAATCATTCAAAATAGGAGACTTCACTCTAGACTGACATTTCTGTCTTAAAATGCTGATTTCCGTGCCAGTTAAAACTCACAGCATGGTTGTTTGTTGAGAAACACAATAGGCAAATCTCACAGATGAAATAAATAATATATATTTAACACTGCAGTGCACAATTTACCAAGCTAATGCAGGAGGCAAGGATGGTTGGCTACAGAGCTCTTAAGGCGCAGGTGAAAAGTTGACTTGTTTTATTAATCATGTTATGATGCTACTATGGCTGTAAGGATAAAAGGATAAAACCTTGGATAAACAGAGCCTTGTGTTTTTGCTTATCTTTGCATTGCTTGTTCTCTTGTATGGTTATTGGTGTGTAAGTTCTTTGAGATAATGAACAGGTCAAATCCTTGAATGTGTTCATTTGGTTTTCCAATCAATCACAGTAGACAATGCTTCAAATAAGGTAGTTGCTGCAAAGATGCTACATATTGAAAACATATCCACTTCACACAAATCTTCAACCCTACAGCGGGGGAGATCACTTCAATCAATAGTCTCCAGGTGGGAACACAAGGGCAGTGTCTCTAATTCAGTTTACAACCAAATGTGAAATATAGCCACAATCTCCCCTGCTCCTGAGTTATGGCGTTGAATAACGGCCAGAAAAGTGTTTTAGCAAACCATTATGATTTCACAGTGACCTTTTGGATTCAAAATATCATCCTTCAATCATTTCACCCTTTTATACATTTGTCAAACTTTTTCATACAGTAAGTAGTGAATATGATGAAAGCATTTTTGAACACAGGCTCAAAACTTGTTTAGAAAGTGACCTTGACCTTTGAACAAGGGGACGCTTATTTAAAATGTGAAGAAATGTCCTCAAGACCGACCGTGATACTGTGTTCCTAGGAGCTCAATGGACAGAAGGACAACCTGACAGCCTGTTTACTTCCAGTCTACACTCATTCAACTCTCTTTTGTCCGCACTCTTTGAATTCTCCCTCCTGACGCCATTGGTTTTGACTATAGACTATTGACTATGTAAAAAGGAAAGTGGATTTTGTGCCTTGAATGCAAAGCAAGTGTAGTCATTCTATCCTTTTGGTAATTCTATCCTCATCATCAGCCATTATGTGACCTCACTGGGACTTGGTGAGCTATGGCTGCAGAATAGTGGTCACTTTGATGGGCAGAGGGCACACAGAGTCACATTGTGTGTGAGTGTGTATGGGAGACTAATGAGTGACAGTAAAGGAGAGTTTAGAGGGACAGAGTTACCCTGCCTGAGGGCATCATCACATCATTACAGCTCCTGCTGGTTTTCACTCACCAATGTTTGCATTAAATCACAAAGTGGGCATTGTTGTGTCCTTTCCCGAGCTATGATGTGAAGTAAACAAGAGGAATAAACTAAATAAATCAGGCAGTATATTTTCAGTGCTGCAGCGCAAATGTTTTTTTGTCGATGAAACAATGAAACAACATCCATCACCGTGGCCACAACACAGACTGCGGCTGCACCACAGAGGTCATTAATGTACATCCGAAGAATAACAACTGCAGTAAAACCTCCTCTCCACTTTTAATTGGCATTGTGTTTCAAGCCTGAGGTCTTTGATGAACTGAGGGGATGCACTCATGGGGCGAGAGATGAGCTGGATAGACCATCAGGATTACACTTTCTCCATTCAGAGAAACCTCCAGTTCACTCTTCTGAAGGAGTGAATATTTTTAGGATTAAAAAAGCTAAACTAAATCTGTCGATGGCGCTCTCAGAAGGTCCCTTGGATGTGAGATCACTAGCGTGTGTGTGTGTGTGTGTGTGTCCTCCAGGCTTGCTGCCAGTCAAAGAGTTCACTACAGCAATATTAATAGCTACAAATCCAGCAGCACTACAACCAATCACAGACCTCCTGAGGCTCTAATTTGACACTGACCTGTTGCCATGGCAGCAGCTCCAGGGGTCAGTTAGAGCCGTTAGGGGCGCGACAGCTTTTGATAAACGGACGCACCTCTGACTGCATGGTTATAAGAAACTGTTAAACCAAGAGTGAGGGTGGTCTGAAGTGAGCTCTAGGGCTGGTTGTTACCTTTTATTGATATTGAATGCTGCTAGCTTAACACACCGGAGTTTGTCTGCGCTCAAGTTGCATCCTAGTAATGCAGAAATTATCTTTGGTATTATCATTTCTAACTGGCCCTCAGTGTTAACGTTTATCTTCACAATTTAAAATGTCAAAACAAAGTCAATTTAGGGAATTAAATGTCCACCCACTTGGGTTGAATAGTTGATACATGTGAATAAAGGGATATATTACATTTATTTGGCACACTTTCAAAATAACATAGGCCTACTATTTAACCTTAGGCTTTATGGGAAGGTATCAAATACTTTCAAGTTGAAAGGCTTAAGTCAAAGTCACTATTTATTTTTGTCAAAAGTCTTCAAAT